CGGATACAGAGGCTAACACAAGACAAAGTAAGGCGTCTGTCCTTTGTCGGCCCTTATTGATACTGAATGTATGATACAACAGCATGCGCCTTTTGCCCCCGCGCTGAGCGCGACTGCCGACTTTTTGTCTACGCCTATGCCAATCCCTGAGGCAACAGAGGATCTCGTCTCCGAGTTACGCAAGGAGCAGGAGTTCGTGACGCAGCGGCTCGATGACGAGCGCAGTAATGCAGCAGGACTGAAGACAAAGATCGAGGATATCTGAAGGACGACACTACAGCAGCTTACGAACTCACTTCTGTGTTCATCCACCGTGGGTCGTCGCCTTCATGGGGACATTACTTTTTCTATTCTCGCAACCTGCCGGAGAACCCGATCAATGGTTCAAGTATAATGACTCGGACGTCACCGTTGTATCGAAAGAGGAGGTCCTGGCGGATACGACTGGCTCTACCGCCAATCCATACATGGTCCGTATCGCCCTGTTGCTGTCTGCAGTATGTGCTCATGATGTGCGACAATTTGCAGCTTGTGTTTGCGCGTAAAGACTCGGAGGCTATACGGACAGTACACAGATTCGATCCCGAATTGCTACAGGAAGGTTGACACTGATCGTCCCATCATACTTTGCACTATATATCATCAGGCAGCTACGAAGTTACTGTTACACACTCATGCTCCATATCATTTCGCATGTCCTTTGCTGTATATCACCGTATCCGAGCGCTCCCACTTCGCGTCGAGATGTCTTGTATATAACAAAAGCATGCAGACTGCTATACTTCAACTGATTAGGAACATCTGGGCGCGCTCGCAGACAACGCGGTGCCTCGTCTACCTCGTTCGATCGCAGAGGGTTTACTTAGTCAGGCCCAGCCATTCAGTATGAAATAACGCTGTACAAACGTGGACAATCCACCCGTACGGTGCGACTATGGCTGTCCTCGGCAATGTTCGCATTCCAAGGATGGTTCGCAAGCTGCCAAGGGTGTATTGAAGAGCACATGTAGTACGTAGATACTTCGTTTATGCAAGGCGCCACGCGGTGTCTGCTTGGAAAGGGCGTTATGCAATGGCAGACTGCTTTACGAGCTCGATCAGCGCTCTGTTCGCAGACAGTCTCAGTGTCATTCGTCATGATGGATGCATCAATGTACCCACCTTGTTGGTCGGCCCGTGAGGCCTTTTCCTTGGTAGTCGTTTCCTCGGGCACTCTGTCACGAACTAGTATTAGTTTCAGCGCCGGTTCTACGACGTAGTACTCACCTCCATCGTGCCGGCAATATCCAAATGCGCCCACCGCACTCCTGGCTCGCTGTCACTCTCTTCCGACGACTCGACACCTGCGACGAAGGACTTCAGGAATAGTGCAGCCGTGCAGCTACCTGCGGATCGTCCTCCGATCTGCAGACATCGAGGATCGATCAGTGATGCAGGTCATTCAAGCGTGGCTGCTGCGTGCCAGGGTGGATACGAGTATACTCACATTGCACAAGTCGGCGTTCGAGCTAGTGATCTGCGGCGCGTAGGCATCCGAGAGAGGCATCCGCCAGAAGAGGTCATGTTCTACCTTTCCCGCTTTCTCGAGGTCTTGCCATAACGTGTCGGAGTTCTATGGTTTTGCACGCAGACACCACGACAAGGATCAGCTTTACAAAGCGACACATAAACACGGCGCGTGCGTACCGTGAAAACCCCCGTATAGACCTCACCAAGCGCAATCATCATTGCCCTGTCCGCCAAAGCATCGTGAGTGCAGAAATGTAGTATGTAAGCATCCTGACTCACCCAGTGAGCGTTGCAACGTCTACAACTGAATGCGGCTGGTATGTTGACGTGCCATAGTACAATGCGTCTGAAATCGTTTTCAGCTGTAAACGGTACATCAGGCCACACGGAACGCACCCGCGAGGACTAGTCTGCCTTCCGCATCCGTGTTGTCGATCTGGATGGATTTCCCATTCATTGCATATACACTGTGAGGCACCTACGTTCAACACATGCCATAGACGACACTCATCGGAGACATACATATCGCCAGGTTTGTTTGCACCCGGACCAGGCATATTCTCCGTGAGAGGGCAGAGAACAACCAGGTTGACTCTTCCGCTCAGTGTTAGCAGGTTCAATTGCCATTAGGAGAAGCTGTGGACATACGGAAGCTTAAGCTGAGCAACAGCAAGCGCGGCAGAACAAACCGCAGCCGCCCCGCCTGCGTCGTCAGCATCTTAGTGCCTATGCGCACGGATCGACTCCCATTGGCTTACCCATGTCTCCGCGCATGAGCTCCATGCCCTATAAGACGATGTCAATTGCGAAGCTATAGAGACAAATATTTGAAGCAGCACGTACGCCAGCTGGCTTTATTGATATTCCTCCTGTGTCGAAGGTCACACCCTTCCCGACGAACAACAGCGGCTGCACATCGCTTGCGGCGCCCCTGTAATGGCTTGGAATAGATTAAACATTACACCAGCTATGTGTAAGACATTAAATAGGTATACCTACATCTCAAGGAACTTGCACGGTTCCGACGAACCTTTTGCGACCGACAGGAATGTACGCTAGTAGCGCAGCAGCATTCCAGGTAGCCACAGGCCGTCAAACATTTAGATCATCGTTGTGCGATGTTTCGAAGCACTACTTACCATGCCCTTCTCAGCAGCCCACTCTGCCGTGGTTCAGTCAAGAGGTTATGAGGAGACATGGGACAGCTCAAACCTTGATCGCGTGCAAATATGTCGACGTTCGGAAGACCCGCGAATTCGGCTTGCACACGTTCCGTAAAAGCCTGCAATAACATCGTTAATGAGATGGCGAGAACTCGGAAGCCACGGTCCGCGTTACAACGGAGGCCGCGTTGTACGATACAAAAGTTGCGCGGACTCCTGCCTCACTGCACGGTCAAAGGAAATATATTCCGAGCTCGCGGCGTGAATATTCCGAGACAGCGTACGACCTCCGAGATTGAGCTGACCATCGACATTATGCACAGCATGCTCGGGGGAATGGTCAACCCAAGGAGAGCGCATTACCCTGGGTAGGCATGATGGGAATAGACGGGAAACTCACCGTAGGTGTCATCATGTTGCCCGGCAGCTCGGATAACTAACCGGAAATGAGCCAAGCTTAGCATGGCTTTCGATAGTCAGTAGATCTGCTACGTACCGTCCTTGCAAGGTTCTGAGCACGCGCGTACACGACACCCTCGCCCCACGCCTTCGCATCGCCCTCCGAGAGTGACCGAAGCTCCAGTCTCTCTGGTAGAGAACCGGTATTGCGCGGATCGAAGCGCGATTGGGGTTTCGTCTTGAGCGTAAAGTCATAGAGAGCTAGGTTGGCAGCAACGGCTGCGCTCAATCGTCACTGTAAGTCAGCAGGCTGGACGTAAGGTGAAGTAGCGAACCGGCAGCATGTGGGTCCGCACTCGCATCGACGAATACCGTCTCTCCGTCTACTCCATCACCGAGTGCCTTGACAGCCTTGATGGCACTCCCGACTGCCCGTCTAACGACCTCCCTTCTCTGCTCGTCGGACTTGGACGTCCATTTATGTCCAAGGCTGGTCAGCGCCGTGACATCCTTGCCCTTCCCGCCGCCCGGAGTATTGTAGAAAATGCGGGTCGTCCCCGTCTTGACGGGTTTCTTGTCTCTCGAAGCGGGTGCAGAATTCCAGAGTGCTGCAGCATCGACGTCGGCGACGGGAGAGGAAGGAGAGGAAGGATCGACAGGAAGTATGTAGACAGCTGAGCGGGGACGAGTAGTGGAAACAGTACGTCGAGGCAAGTTGGACGAGCGAGCGAGGAGGCGGGTACCGCGGCGAGCGAGCATGGCGGCGTAGAGCAAGGTTGATGATCACACGCGTCGACGCGACATCCCGGGCTCGGAACGCGCGTGACCGTGTGCAACCACGATAACTTGAAGACTGACTTCAAGTTGCGACCAAATTTCGAGGCTCTTGCTCAGAGGGACTGAAGTATATTCATCGAGAGTGCTACTGCATTATGCGTACTGGCTGTAACGCGTCTCCTATAGTATTTCAATGCTATCCTGTGCCGTATCTCAATGCTAAAAGTGAGTGAATGCGCCGACCTCGAGGGCTATCCTACAAGTTCCAATAAATGCGTCGTGTTCCCTGTTGCAGCGTGACTTATAGGTATGCATATTAGTGTTCCTTCCCGATCTTTTCCGTTGGCGTAGTTTCCATGAAGGCCCTCGCCTCCGCAGGGATACCGATCCCGTGAATATGGTACTGCTCGCCGACGAGCTCCTTCGCGGCCACCATCAGTTTGTCGAGGCGGAGGATGATACCGAACGCGGTCGTCACACCGACCGCGAACGATCTATCCATCAACGTAAGCAAACCTCTTGTCCACGATGAAGAAGGGAGCCGCGACTCACAGATACTGCTCGTTTTCCAAGGTATCGATCGTCATAGTCCGCGGCAAGCCGTAGTCATCGTCCGCTTCCTGCCGGATGATGTTCAGCCCGTGCGTATAGACCATGAAGCGGTCAACGAGGGGGCACGGCGTTACTTGCGGCAGAGGCGTTCCAGTACGAAGTGCGGTCGAGATCATGCCTAACATATGAGAATTAAGTGCCACACCGCGAATAGTGTGAGGATTTGTCTACTCACAGATCACAGCAAGGACGTCTCCTTGAAAATCCGCATCGAGCAGACGGGTACGTCGGAGGAAGGCTAGTGACCACGCCGGATCCAGGTGTTCGACGACCGACATCAGGTGCGAGAGCAGGAACGCGATTTGCCTACGTTGTCAGTCAGTCAGACAAGGGAATACAACGACAGGTGTGTGTTGTCAACTCACATCTGCAGCTCCAGGATACGCTGGTACCGTTGCGCTGGCCACTTGCCTCGAAGAGAGAACTAGGCGTAATTTCAGCATTGAAAGTTCAGGATACAACGATTCCAAGACGTACCTCGTAGATAATGTTCGTCTTCAGCACCACTGACCGCTTGAGCTTCATGCGAATAGCGATCAGCGCCTGCACGATCTCGCCGCGATTGACTTCATGCCGTCCTCTCGTGTTCGCAAAACTGACGATTGAGCAGTAGATACTCCCCAGCTCCGCCGTGGTCGTGCTCAGCATCGTCCGCTGGTACTTGCGCAGCGTCGTACTCGGCGGGAGCAAACTGAAGATGAACGCGGCCGTGACGCCCGCGCAGACGATCACGAACCGCCGCCACGCGAGTGCCCAGCCGTAGAAGTGAAAGATCGCAGCGAAGTGCGCATTCTGCCACGAGAAACCGAGCACCAGGCAGGCCGTGACAAAGAAGATAATGTTGCTCATCGGCGGGCCCGGCCAGTAGAGTCGTCCGTAGTAGAAAAAAGGCATGCAGAATGCGACGGCGGCGGTGTAGCCGTAGGCGTTGCCGATCCCCTTCTGCGCAGCGATGTACCAGACTACCATACCCGTGACGCCGCCGAGAAACGTACAGAGCAGACGGGCGAATAGCGCGAATGTCGTGTCGCCTCTGAATCGCGCTAGAGTCAGTTGTCCCATGAAAATGCCCCAGACGAATCGTTCCTCGTACGCGAAGTGAGCCGTGTGTTTGAGGAAGTTCGGGATGCACAGGAGGACGGTGAGCGTGCCCGCCTTCAGCGCGAAGAGCATATTGCCGCCGGTGAGCCCCATCAGTAAGGTGTGGAACCAGGACATGATGTGCTCTAAGGGAGTGTGCGGCGGGAGCGCGTCGGGATCTCTGCGAGATGGCTGGCCGAGATCCTCGTCCCAGTCTGTTTGCATACCGGGTATTGCGTCTAGAAACATAAGTACGTGCGTTAGTGTAGGGAAACCATCACTCTTCGGAAGTACATTACCTGGATCCTCGTCGTCGTTACCCTCCAGTTCCACCGTCGCGTCGTACTGGCTCCCACCCCACGACAAGAGAACTTTCTTGACGTTCATGGGCATGAACGGCCCCCATAGACGCGGCCTTTTCTTGTTCTCCTCGAGAGACATGATCGCGTCGATCTTTAGAAATACTAATCAGCAATGCACAGACCCGAAGCTCAATGAGTGACGCACCATTTCGATAACCACCGTGGTGAACTGGATAAGGTGGTATTGATACACATAGCAATGGAAGAGGTATCGATGTGGCGGTGGCTCGGACGTCGCGTCCACACCAGGCGAACCGACATGGCTGGGATCGAACGCCGACCGGTACGGATCGAGCACCTTGTGCCTACGCATGGGCCGCTCGTCAGTAACACGGGCGAGTCTCCTCAGCATCCCGACGCACCTATACTCCTTCCTAAACCTGCTCAACGCGCTGTCCACCTTATACCTCACATCCGCCATCCTCCCCAGCCTCTCCGCCCTCCTCTGCTCTGCACTGCTCTTCCCCTCGAACCACCCGCTCCGCGCGCCAGCGACCCACCCCCTCGCCTCGCCCACCGCATCCGCGCACACGCCCAGCAGCTCGTCGCAGCCGAGGCCGAGCAGGTAGACGAAAGTCTCCGTCGCCTCGGGGCTGTCCGGGTGGCTTAGCCGCGTTGCCTCAAGCGCGAGGTACCGCTGGCTCTCGAACACCGCCACGGCCGTCTCGCCGACGGGCGTAGTCGCCGACGGCACAGATAAGTTATGAGCTAGATGAAGAAGTGAGAAATGGAGCCGCTCGTTCTGGCTGTCTTCTTCGTGCTCGGGCTTGCGCAGGCGGAGGTGGAGGTGCCGGCTGATGGTCAGCCGAAGAGAGGACATCGACCCGTTTGGGTTTGTCTTCGACCGGCCGTTGCGGTGTCGAAGCCGTCCACGTTCCTTCGAATCAGCTGCACCGAGGGCGGGACTCTCAGGACGAGAAGGCGGCGGGCTGCGACCCCAGCCCGCCGAGTCCGGATCTGCTCGCGGACCGGGCGAGTTGGGCCCAAGCGTGGGGGTACCGGGGTGCGTGAACGATTGTCGGCGGGACATGACAGGAGTCATCGACGGCGTGCTCGGTCTGCTAGGAAGAGGCGTGACGGGGAAGCGTTCGCGCGTCGGTTCGATGAGTGTGAAGAAGATACCTAAACCGTTCGCGCGCACGACAAGACGTCGCCCGAACTCCTGCATGCGCCCGATATCTGCCGGAGCGAACCGTCCCCAGACGATGTCGTTCTTGACGAGGCGCAGAGCGGCCGCTGCAGGACCGAGTCCGGCCTCCGCCTTGGTGACGAGGCCGCCGATCTTCTGTACGGCAGCGGGAAACTCGGAGCTGGAGGGGGCGAGTTTGAGTACGGCGCGGTGTTCACGAAGCGCAGCTTCGAGTGGCTCTATCGCGCGCGCAAGGGCACCCGCGTACTGCGCTGTGATAGTGCTCGGGAAGATTGTTGCGCTCGTCACGACACAGAGGCCGGCATGGAGCACGAGAGGAAGGACGAGAGTCTGACTGATTGTGTAGTAGGGATACGGGAAGAGGACTGCTGTAACGAAAGAGATGTCGATGGTGATGGCACCAAAGACGGATGGAATGAGGTAAGGGCCGGGACCCTTCTTGACCTTGATGAAGAGGAAGAAGGTGACGCCGAAGAATACCCATACGGCGCAGATAACCGTCGGTCCCGCCTCGATGTACTGTCCGGAGAGCACATCCGTCAGGGTAGCGTTATAGTCAGTGTGGTCCCGAGCGAGGTGAGCAAAGAAGATTCCTAGGGCGGACCATCTGTGAAGGCATCAGCCGGGAGGTGTGGGTGAAGAGAGAGAGAGACTTACGCCCAACCGAGGGTGACGAAGAGAGCGAGTATGAGTTCGCGCTCGAGGACGGAGATAAGGGGATCGCTGGGTGGGTCGAGGAACGCGGCTGGTCATGAAATGAGAGATGGGTTAGACACGAGAAGATTGCGGCGTACCAATGAGTAAGAGGAATGTGGCCTGAAACGGAGGCTCGTCAGCCTATACATGGACTGGATACAGCGGACTCACCTGGCCGGTGACACCCTCGACAGGGCTTAGGACCATGAAGATGATTGAGATAAAGGCCATGACGGAGCTACGGATGACGGGCTTGATCTTGGGCCAGGAGAAGTTTGCGGGGATCCAGGCGAGGTCGAGGGGGAAGTACTTGACAGCAGTCTTGAGAAGCGTGTTCATGAAGTGCCCGAAAGACCGGGTTTCGTGCCGCTGAGGCAGCTTTTCGGTCTCGGTGGGCGAGGATCTACCCTGCGAGCCTCCCGGGCCCCAGGAAGGTGTCTCGATACGGACATGGCGGAGGGGCGGGGTGTCGTGGGGGCCGTGGTAGGAGCCGTAAGCGGTCTGGTCTTCATCTTCATCGCCGAGGCGGGGGTCGTAACGGAGGGTCTGCCTCCAGCTGATGTCGATGACGTCGGCATATTGAGAAAGGGGAGGTAGAGACGGCGGGGACATCGCAGGAGAAGGAGGGACTCACGTACGAACTAGGGGCACGCCCTCCGAGTCGCCAGAGCCGGTCGACGGTGGGTCGGGCACGACACGCGCGGACTCTGCAAAGTGAACGTGCTCGTGCGGGAGAGTGTCGTCGTCGGCGCGTGCGTGAGTGTCGTCCGGGGCGTCGGGCGAGGGGGCGTGCTCGGGCGCGAGACCCTCGGGGGCGGCCTGGGTTGTTATATGGGCGTCGGGCATGGCGAGCGGAGGCGATGACAAACGCGCAGAGACCGGGGTGCGCTGTGCGCTTCGACGTGCTGCGGCCAGGAGCGGCCGACGATGAGTGCGAAGGACGACCCGGCCGTCATCCAACGCGCTCGACCCATGAATAGCACCGGCGCCTCCCCGCGTCGCTCGACGCGTCCCCGCGTCGCCTCACGTGTCTCCTCTCCTCGCCGCCGTCCCCGATGTCGGACGACCCCAGCCCGCCCCACGCCCCCGCAGAGCCGTCCCCGCCGCCACCCCCGCCCGCTGCGCTGGGCTCGCCCACCGACTTCCTCAAGGGCGTCGTCGGCAAACGCGTCGTAGTCCGTCTCACGTCTGGCGTCGACTACCGCGGTACGTCCCATTCATTCGTCCGCCGCAAATCCGCGTTCGCTGACCATGCGCACAGGCGTTCTCTCGTGCCTGGATGGGTACATGAACATAGCCCTCGAGCAGACCGAGGAACACGTTGCCGGCATCCTCACCAATCGCTATGGAGATGCGTTCATCCGCGGCAACAACGGTCTGTCCTCTCGTTCGTACTCAGTCTCTACCCCGCTCACGTCCGATCGACCTCGCAGTACTCTACATCTCGGCCTCTGAGCCGCTCTGATCTGAAAAGGCAATCTCATCATCGTCGAGGGATGCGATGCAGGCTCCTAATACCAGCCGTCCATAGTGTTCTCGCTCGTACATGTCGAGGGGGGACTTCAGCCTATATACGAAAAAAATAAAATGAGCGCTTAAATCAGATTAGACGCTCTAAAGTTTTGACTTACTATACTGGGGAATTTTTTTAGCCGAATTGACGAGGAGAACACTATAGGACGGCTGGCCAAACTTGCCCCCGAGGCATGGCCGAGGGGGCGCTTATTTATAGGGGCTTTTTGACCAATCCTTAGGGTGAGGATGGGGTGAGGATGGGTGAGGAAGGCATTTTCACGTTCTGAGCATTAAACGTCTCACCCTCGTAGCATGAATCTCAGCGTGCATTAACCCGCGTTCGCGCCATGGCGCGACTGCGGATGCGAGGTACTCTTACCCGCGTTCGCGTCATGACGCGAACGCGGGTAACATGCAGTCTCCGTTTGAGTCTGCGACTGCCTTCTGCCAGTCACCCTTACCCGCAATCGCGCCATGGCGCGATTGCGGATGAGTCCGCACATCCATTGCCTTGTTTGGCAAGTCCGAGCGCCCGCCCGATCTCACAGGCACCCACCGACTTGCTCGTGTGCCACAGAGGGCATGCATCTGTGGTGTACCACATCATCCATTACACCCTCCGCATGCAGCGTCCATTCCGTGTTGTGTGTCAGTGATGTGCAGTGACAGGGCAGGCGAGATCACGTCAGCCACCTGCTCAGCCACCGACGGGCGCTCACACGATCTCCTGCCCACAACCACCATCTCCCACCTCTCCTGCCTCCTGCCTCCCTCTCTTTTACATCCAGCAAGCCCACCGCACCCTGGGGTGATGATGTGCGTACCTGCACATGAAGACAGCCGACACGGAGATTGTGCGCGCGTAAGGTACGTGCACGCAAGATGACCTCTGTGAGTGCGAAACACGGTCGCCCGCAAGTTGATAACACGGCAGACGAGTATACATCAGCAGAGTGTCCTTGTTTCGAGACACACGACAAGCTCACCTCCCGATGTTCTGGATGATTCGCCATACCGACGGGTTGCTCGCGACAGGACTCGCTCGAGAGTGTGCATCAAACCACCTGCCCGGGCTGTTGCTCGTATTACTGGGTACGCCTCGATGATCATTGCGGCACCCTATCGGTGCGCCCTGTGTGTTTCTATCCGCGCAATTGCGAATAGGCACACTGTCCTTGTTTTCATCGTCTACCCGCGCTTGCGCCACGGCGCGAACACAGGTACTGTGCACTGTTCTGAGAGACTCTCAGACGTACTTGTGAATGCTCTTTACCCGCGAACGCGGGTAAGTGCACTGTTTGTGTCAAGGTTTTCTGGGACGTAAACGTAGGTGCAAGTATAATATTATTTTGTATAGTAAGCAGAGTGCCAGGCAATCAAGGAATTTAATTCAAAGGATGCCCCTGGTAGGGTACTCCGAGTATGTTATCCGCAATTGCGCCACGGCGCGATTGCGGGTAAGAGTACACGTGAGCACCAGCATCGCTTCTCGCACGTGGTGTATCGCTTCAACCAGGCGTGCAGCGCGTGCGCGCCGTGTGGACTGGTCTGTCCGCACCGCTGCCGTTTCCACTGCCCAATCCCACTGTCAATCTTGCTCGCATCACTATGGTCGGTACCTACGACCTCCAACAATTTGCGCTTGCTCAGTGCGCATTCACCATCAATCACGCTGACCTCACGGACAACACGCGGAAAGCGGCTTTTGGCCGCGTGCACAACATGTACATTTTCACGGACTTACCGCCGCAGCCCAGCGAATGGACCGCTAAGCAACTCAAGGCGCTCAACCGCCTGTTGCGTTCGTTGCTCAACAGCGCTGTCTCGTGGGACGCATTCCAGTACATCGTCCAGCACCACATCCTGGTAAGTCAAGCTTTCGTGTTGCCGCGAGATACGGCCGCACTAAACGACACGTTGACAGACCGACCCGTGGCTCATGTCGCTGAAACAGTCAAATCAATATGACCAGTTCCCCCTTGTGCTCGCGACCTGCTTCAAATGGCAGTACCGGACCGCAGAGGGCAACTTCCCGAACACGATGGAGGAATACTTCATGTGGAGGCGCATACCGTACGTCACCCTCGAAGAGGACAGCTCGCGCGAGACCAGGAGCGCGTCTCTCGCGCTGTTCTTGAAGCAGTGGTGGATCCGTAAGTCCTCATGTGCAAGTTGCGCGACTATGGACTCACGCGCGAGCTGCTCGACTGCAGGCAACGACCGTGTCAGGTCCGGTAAGCGGTTGCTTACCGCTCTCCATTGGCCAGCCGCACTGACCAGTCGCTCGATCAATCCCAGGTGGACCGCCTCTCTCACATGAGGCCAACGACTTCGACTTCAGCCGTGTGTCGGACGCAGAGCGCGCCGCGGCAAGGGAAGAACAACGAAGGCATCGCAGCCCCAGGGAGCATTCCCCGCTGCCGCCAATGCTCGACAACGTGGTACGTGGTTCCTTTTTTTATCTCAATCGCAGCCAATGCTTACTGACTTGTAAGCTGGTCGAGGCCGCGCGGTGCAAGCGGTGTGTGAATGACCGGCGAGATGAGTGTAGGGTGCCCTTCGCGAAGACGTGCTGTCACCGCTGTATGAGGAGGAAGGTCAACTGCTCGCTCACGGTAAGTCATGTTGTATTTCTGTCTTTCTCTGTGACGCGCTCACTCGCTACAGGACCAACGAGCCTCTGAGGCGGTTGACTCGCCGCGCGCGTCCCTGGCACCTGTGCTGCAGAATAATTCCGCACCCGACTCTCTACCACGTGCACGCTCGTCATCGCGTTCGCCCGCGCCTTCTCCATCGCATTCGCCCTCGCGTTCTGTCACTCGCTCGACGCCCGCATCGCCGCCCAACGTTGTATCCGACTCATCATCCCCGCTGCCGGCTGGGCGTATCGCATCTGCACAGTCGCAGTCGCCCGCTTCTTCTGCAAGCCCATCGACCGTCTCAGTGGCGCAGATGATGGACGTGGATCCTGTGTCGCCAGGAACATCAAGCAGTGTTGACGCGGGTGCTGGGCCTTCGAGCTTTGGAGCCCATCGTGTCGCGAGACGTAAGTGTTCATTCTTTGATTGAGAAACGGAACACTCATGCTGGTACAGGCAAACTCAACGAGCTCGACACCAATGCGATCATCCGCGATGTCAAGCGATCATCGGATCTCCCTATGGCCGAACGATTGAATGTCCATCAGGGGGTGATCGCGCGGCTCATCAACGAGGTCGCGAGATTGCGGGGTGCCCTTCAGGCGACGAAGAAGAAACGTGCTCGGTACGGGGGTGATGAAGATGATGATTGAGTAGGAAGGTCGGGATAGTATATCGCATCGTGCATGTATGTAAACCACATGTACTACCACTTCTTGAGCATGCCCACATATTGTTTCATTTATCTGACCACCGAACTACGCGCACTCGATCAACGATCTGAGACGTGCGAATAATTAACATGCTACCCGCACTCGCGCCGTGGCGCGAGTGCGGGTACAAATCTGCGGCAGCTCGACGGATTTTGATGGTTCCAAACGGCAGGTACGATCACGTCAATTCATTCATTTTAGCGAGCGATACTACGACCTCCCACAGTCAACAAATACATTTACAGTAGTTACGCGCAGTGTCACGAGTGAATCGATCTACCCGCGTTCGCGCCACGGCGCGAACGCGGGTAACGACAATGTGAAGGGATGCGATGGTGTTACCCGCGTTCGCGCCGTGGCGCGAGTGCGGGTAGTTGCACCGTTTTCAATACAAGTCACTTCCGCATCTTCCTGACGTCCTTCGAGAGCTTCGCGAGGCGGGACTCGAGCGTCGCGGTGCGCTGGTTGCTGTCCTCAAGGTCGCTCTCGAGCTTTGCGACCTTGCGCTCGAGAACAGCGACCCTGCGCTCCGCCG